AATCTATTTCACAAGGAAAATAAATACTACTTTTTTTGGAACAGAAATATTTTAAATTAATTCTATTGAATATTCATGGGTCATTTCTTCATAAATTAATTTAAGGTTGGTTTTGTGAATGTATTGGGTCAATTTAACTTAATTTGCATTTCCTCTATGAAATTCAATTTGGGTATTGTAATAGTTTAAAGGTTTTTCCGTTATTTGTATATAATTCTGATTGACAGAGCATCAGCTACCAGGTTTTCCATTTAATAGTGAAATAATAGTATATTTATAGTGAAGTCAAACTCGTTTATTTTATTCTCCATTTCTGTAATTTCATATTTGTTTTTTTATATTATGAAGCCAAACTAATGGTAAATGATTGCTAAGAATTACAAACTTTCTACCAAAGAGATAAGACCTCAAATATTCAGTGGCCCAGACTATAGCCAGAAATTCTTTTTCTGTTGCTGAATAATTCATTTCATGTTTATTAAGAGTTCTACTAGCTTAGCAAATAGGTTTATGATTTTGTGATAATACTGTGCCTATGGCGACATTATTACCATCTGTTGTTAAAAAAAATAGTTTTTCAAAGTCAGGGTAAATTAAAATTGGGTCACATTACACATTTAAATGGGCGACTGCTAATCGTTATTCTTTCGATAAAATTTTCGTTTTTCATTTTGGAATGATCGCTTAATGATCACGCTGTCTTTTCACAGGTCTGTTAAAATTAGAAGCTTTTAAAGAAGATTGTGGCTGCAGATAATTCACGGAATGCTGAGCTCTACATTGATTTAAGTTTTGATACAATTCCTGTCGATAGGGTTGTTGATTAAAATGTCTATTCTTTAAATATATTCTATTTTTTTTAAATTCTTGTCTATTCTTTGTTCCAAATCAGTGCACTATGGGGAATCCGACCAGTTTTTGTGACAAAACCCATTTTATGAAAGTCGGAAAATTAAAATAAGTTTCAGTGTAACGCATTCCAAGTTCACCAATCTTCAGTGGTGCTTGGTAAAATTTTTATTGAGGGCGCCACAACAAAAGAATTATCTGACAAACACAGCTGTTGCATTTGCAAAGCACAGGCGGCTGAAAAATAAAGTTTTGTTTACAAAGTTTGAGTACTTTGTATTCAACAGTATTCCAAGATAGGACGAACCAATAAGACATATAGAGTCTTAGTTTTGAAAGGATCATCAAATTCTTTTGAGCAACGTTTGATAAAAGCTAGCACAATTCTGGCATTTTTAACTGTCAATGATATGTGCTCATTGAACGAAAGCTTATTGTCAAGGATAGGAAACCCGATCAAGGACGATATTTCCAAATGAGTATGAGACGATGAGAGGCACACTGCGATTGAACGTGAGAGGAGGAGATTGTTTGAACACTAGAAGAATACTTCATAAAGTGGGGAGCAAAACGCACAAATGTTTAAAATTTGAGTGTATGCGTAGCAGAGAAAAACAATGAGAGCAGAGCATTCACAGAGCGGAAAAAAAAAGTTTTTTTTTTTAGGCACTAAAATAGTGTATATTATTTTAAAGGTAGCTTTTCTAGCAACAGTTCTTAAACAAATAAAAAACTACGCTTCCCTAACTATATTTTCTATGGAGAAAACTTGTTCCAACCCAATTTCTGAGAGAATTTGTTCAGTGGAAATACATATTTTTCTGAATACAAAAGGTTCTGCGTATTTCTGCGATGTGAAATATTCGTCAAGCAAAAGTTTAAGCTGTTTATTAAATTATAATAACAATCCGGTTTGCGGCTTTTTCGACGTTTCATTATACCCTTGCAGAGGGTACTATAATTTTGTCCAAAAGTGTGCAACGCAGTAAAGTAGACATCTCCGACCCTATAAAGTATATATATTCTTGATCAGGATCACCTCCTGAGTTAATATGAGCATGTCCGTCTGTCCGTCTGTCTGGCTGTTTCTACGCGAACTAGTCTCTCAGTTTTAAAGCCAAAGTTATACCATTTCCGATCAATCAGTTATATGGCAGCTATAGGATATAGTCCCGATCCCGTCCGTTCCGACTTATATACTGCGTGCAAAGAAAAGAAGGGTGTGTGCAAAGTTTCAAGTCGATAGCTTTAAAACTGAGAGACTAGTTTGCGTAGAAACAGACAGACGGACAGACGGACATGCTCATATCAACTCAGGAGGTGATCCTTATCAAGAATATATATACTTTATAGGGTCGGAGATGTCTCCTTCACTGCGTTGCACACTTTTGGACAAAATTATAATACCCAGGATGAAAAATTGATGTTGGCGGATTTTCAGACCTACTCAATATGCTCACAAAATTTTATGAGAATCGGTATAGCCATTTCGGAGGAGTATGGTAAAAAAAACTTTGGCAGGAAAATTTTATATATAATATAATATATAGAAAAAGCCCTATTTATACCAGGTACTCGTAGAGTAAAAGTTCGTGTTGTAGTAGTCGTGATAATTTCAAATTTAGATAAAAGTTGACAGAAGCCACTAAATGGAGGACCTGCTAGTTCACATAAATCTTCTCAAGAAAGGAAAGATCATTTATACGGTACACGGATGATCCGACGATCGTTTAAATGAGCTATGTTGTAGTATATTTTCATTTTAGAAGATATCTTAGTATATTTTTGTAGCACCCTTTACTCCTCTAATCTAATGATTGTGATTTGAAGTAGTGTTAGTGATTTTACAACTAATTTATTCAAAGCAAGTATAGAAAGCTACGTTGGTTCGTTGGTTTCCAAGTTGAATTGACCAGAGATGATAGCTAAAACAAATTGCTACTTCGAAATGAAGATGTCGTGACTGGCACCAGGGTATATTAAAATATTCTGTTCTCCTCGTAGCCGTAGCCAAAAATCTAAAGCGAGACAGATCAGTGCAACAAATATTTTTGTATGTGCTACTGCTCTATCGTAGTTTTGTTTTTGTTTTTTATGCACCATCACTGTGTGACCACTTTCTTTACCTCCTTTCTTCCTTACCCACTTTCTTTACCCTTGTAAGAATGAAATTTGGTACGTCGGGTTATCTGACCAAAAATATAATCTGTACTAAGTTCCATCTTTCTATCTTCAAAAACACGAAAGTTGGGTCATTTCCGATCGTTCAGTTATATGGAAGCTATAAGATATAGTCGGCCGGTCCTTTTGAAATTTGACATGTCGTAATATTTTTTCTCTAACTCTAAAAACACCAAAGTTATACCATTTCCGATCAATCAGTTATATGGCAGCTATAGCATATAATCGGCTGTTTCCAGTCGTTCCGACTTATATTTTGCAAGGAAAAGGAAGGAAAGAAGCAAAGGAAAGAAGGATGTGTGCAAAGTTTCATGTCGATAGCTTTAAAACTGAGACTAGTTCGCGTAGAAACCGACAGACAGACGGACAAACGGACAGAGGGACATGCTCATCAAAATTATAATACTCTCTGCAAGGGTATAATTATGATCGCCCACCCCCAGGCAGATACCCGTATCCGCCCCTGGATAAGTCGGCCAAAAATACAATTTATAGGTATACCCGATTGGGTCTACCCAACCTTCTATCTTCGGAAAAAAAACGAAACAAGAAAGGAAAGCTAACTTCGGGCGGAGCCGAAGTTGATATACCCTTGCAGTTAAAACCGGATGTATATCGCAAATATCGGATATAGTTGTCCGATCCTTATGAGAATATCATAATAAAACCAAATAATAAATAAAAAATATTGAAAAAAAACGCCAAGCTTCTATCTTCAAAAATACCAAAGTTGGTATTTCTACCAAAAACCATTTTCGATCGTTCAGTTATATGGCAGCTGTAGGATATAGTCGGCCGATCCTTATGAAATTTGGTAGGTTGGATCAAGTGACCAAAAATAGAATCTGTACTAAGTTTCAGCTTACTATCTTCAAAAACACGAAAGTTTGTCATTTCCGATCAATCAGTTACATGACAGCTATAGGATATAGTCGGATGATCCCTGCCGTTCCGACTTATATACTGCGTGCAAAGGAAAAAAAGGTATGTGCAAAGTTTGAAGTCGATAGCTTTAAAACTAAGAGACTAGTTTCCGTAGAAACAGACAGACGGACAGACCGACATGCTCATATCAACTCAGGAGGTGATCCTGATCAAGAATATATATACTTTTTAGGGTCGGAGATGTCTCCTTCACTGCGTTGCACACTTTTGGACAAAATAATATTACCCTCTGTATAAAATGGGTCATTTTTGATTGTTCAATTATATGCTAGCTGTAGCATATAGTCGGTCCATCCATATTGAATTCGATAGGTCGGATCAATTTACTTAAATTCAAATAATAAAAAATGCCAACTCGCTAAATTTAAAAATACCAGAGTTTCCGATCAATCAATTAGAAAGCAGCCATAGGATAAAGTCGGCCGGTCCAAGTCGGATCCGTTCGAACTTATATGTGTATATGGAGTGCAAAGAAAGTATGGATATGTGCAAAATTTTAACTCGATAGACAGACAGACGGACTTGCTTATATCATCTCAGGAGTTGATCCTGATCAAGAATATATATACTTTATAGGGTCGGAGATGTCTCCTTCACTGCGTTGCACACTTTTGACCAAAATTATAATACCCTCTGCAAGGGTATAACAGAAAGAAAAGCTAACTTCGGGAACCAAAGTTTATATACCCTTGCAGTTATAACCGGATATATATCGCAAACATCGGACACATATCATCTCAGGGACTAATACTAATCAGGAAAATATACTTTATAGAGTCGAAGATGTCTCCTTCACTATGTTGCACACTTTTGACCAAAATTAAAATAACCCCTGAAAGGGCACAAAAGGGGTTTCGCCATTTAATCACTTCAAAAATTTTATGTTTTATACTTTTTTTTATAAATATATAATATACAGTGTAATAGTATACATATTTATGAAATATTTTATGTATATTTCACATACATTTTATGTTGTGTAAAATATTTAGTCACTAATATGTAAATATAATAACTTTTCTTACCGTCATCAGATAAAATAATAGTTCCATCTACGTGATCTGCAGAGTTAATTTTTTTTTCGGAAGCACCAATATTATCATGGGTATATAAAAAGTTTTTTTCCGTTTCAGCTTGAATATTTAAGTCATCTTCATAACAGCAAGCTTTATATGCGTCCATCGAAGAAAGAAAAGAAAACAAGGGATCCTTACAGTTAACTTTACTTGCTTTTACTGCCAATCCAATTTGGCATGATCTACAGCATATGGTAAACGCTTTAGATGTAATATTTTCACCTACGTCGCAGCGAGTTCCCTCTAATGCTGCCAATCGACCAAGATCGCAGTTTTGGTGGTCAAGTGCAAGGGAACAGCATACTTCAAATGTTGAGTGACATAATCCTAACCAAAGTTGTGGTGTTATGAAAGGTGATATGTCATGGTCCGAACAAGAGGCTGTTAAGCGTGCTTGACGGAGTCCATTAATGCAGCACTTTCGAATATATTCAGAAATTTGTTCTAAAAATAAATCGTATAATTAGTTAACTACATCACTAGGTAGACAGTACTTAAAATGTCTAAAACGAATCAGTATTAATTTAATTAGACTAAATTGGTCAGACTCTTAGTTAACATATGACTGAATATATGAAATTTTTTGTTAAAAAATTAAAAATCAAAAAATATTGGGCTTCGGGCGGAGGGGAAGTTGATAAGTCCATGCAGTGACAAGGAATATTGTTTTTTAAAATAAATATAGGATCCAAACAATCTTCAATCTTAAAATAAATATAGGAAGAGAAAGGAAAGCTTATTTCGGCAGAGCCTTGCAGTTTAAATCGGATATATTTAGCAAATATCGGATTCAGTTGGCCGATCCTTATGTCATTATAATAAAACAAATTTCTTAGAAAACAAAATATAAAAAAAAATTCCAAGCTTCTATCTTTAAAAATACCAATGATGGTTTTTTAACAAACACCAAACATAGGCTGCTATAGAATATAGACAATTTGGTATCCTTCCGAAATTGTGCGAATAGAATGAATTGACCAAAAAAAGAATCTGTTGAAAGTCTCAACATTCTATCTTCAAAAACACGAAGTCATTTCCGAGAGGATTCCTTCTCTTTTACTTTTCGTCCACATCCATTCACACAAATACAATATACCCCTGTACTCTACGGTGTGTGCAATGTTTGAATTCGATAGCTTTTGAACTAGAACGATGGCAGAACGATGGAACTGATTATATCGGCTCCGTAGGTAATGGTAAAAAAAAAATATTTTTAGATGAAGGGCTATGAAAAGGGGGTATTTGCAAGGGTATTAAGGGGTTATATACAGTTGTACCGCGCAAAAAAATGTAATTTTATCGATTTTTTTTTGACACCATAGAAAATATTTATGAAAAATGTTTTACCGACGTTGTTTAGTACATGTTTCTGGGTACTTAATTAAATTTTTTCATAAAAAAATATTACATAATACAAATGTTATAGCCGAATTCCCGGATCATCTTTTTTCGATGGTGTCTTGCGGTTGACATGATATCCCAAAAACGGTTCTTCTGAAATCCAAAATTCAAAAAAATTTAGTTAGTATATTGTATTTTCTAGTCCGTGATCGAGGGATTTTTAAAAATTTTAATAAAAAATAAATGGCGACGGTTTTAAAAAAAAAAAAAAAAATGTACTTTTTCAAGGTATAAGATTTTTCATTTTTATGCTTTAAAAACGGAGTTTGAAAATCCAAAAAAATGGAAAATCCGTCGATCACGGACTAGCTAATATCATAATAAATAAGTGGTCAAAATTTGGTGTTGATCGGATTAGTAGTTTTTTAGTAATCGTGTCCACAGCAAATGTAATTTCGAAAAATCAAGATTCTGAGATAATCGAGTTTAAAGTTTAACGTTTATTCAAGTTTTATGTGCAGGTTGTGCACTATAAATAGCTACAACTTCGGTTCTAATGCTCCGATCGTTGAATTTTTGTGAGAGTATTCTCAACAGTATATACTTAAAAAGTATATCGATTTTTTCATCTATCACAACTGTATAAAACCAGTTAAAAACGCAAACTATGGGATCCGAATCGGGCCACATAAGTTAAAGCCTATAGGATACCAATTAGAAAGTAGATTCTATTTTAAAATGATTTTTATACCTTTGTAGAGGGTATTAGAATTTTGTCCAAAAGTGTGCAACGCAGTGAAGGAGACATCTTCACTATATATATTCTTGATCAGGATCACCTCCTGAGTTGATATGAGCATGTCCGTCTGTCCGTCTGTCTGTCCGTCTGTCTGTCCGTTTCTACGCGAACTAGTCTCTCAGTTTAAAAACTATCGTCTTAAAACTTTGCACACACCCTTTTTTCTTTTCCACGCAGTAGTAAAATATAAGTCGGAACGACTGGAAACAGCCGATTATATCCTATAGCTGCCATATAACTGATTGATCGGAAATGGTATAACTTTGACGTTTTTAAAGTTAGAGAGTTCAGAGAGAAAATTTGACAAGAGAGCCTTTTTTGGCAAAACATTACGACATGCCAAATTTCATAAGGATCGGCCAACTATATCCTATAGCTGCTATATAACTGAACGATCGGAAATTACCCAACTTTTGTGTTTTTGAAGATAGAAGTTTGGGACATTTTTAGGTTTGGTTTTTGTATTATAATAAATTGGGTTATATTATCATATTCTCATAAGGATCGGCCAACTATATCCGATGTTTGAGATATATATCCGGTTTTAACTGCAAGGGTATATAAACTTCGGCTCCGCCCGAAGTTAGCTTTCCTTTCATGTTTTTTTGTTTTTTTTTTAGAATGAGCAAAAGATTTATCAGATTGGCAGCTCCAAGAACTTTCGTCGGATCCAGAAAACTTTACTTTACTTTAAAAAGGCCTTGGCACTCGCACACCTTGTTTGAGGCAATCCTTTTGGAACAAGGCCAGGCTTTCGCAGCAATCCTATAAAAGTGAAGAAAAGCTGGAACTAAAGCCCAGCCAAAGGTTTATGATTTATCCACAATACCCAAAGGTCACCTCAATAAAATAACAATGTTTAATGGGAAAAATTAGGGAGGGATACGTTGACCTGATAGACATGGATCAAATTATCAGAAATAATTTATAATAATATTGTTTCGAAACAAACTAGTCTCTCTATCGTTTCTATGGTATGCGACATTTAGACGGAGGGATAAACGGACAGACAGACACGCTTATATCGACTCCGAAGGTGATCCAGATCAAGTATATGCTTTATCATTTTATTGAGTCACAGATGCCTCCTTCACCTCCATAAGCCAGGCATGTTGACCTGATAGACATGGATCAAATTTTCAGCGGATAATTATTATCAATTATTATAATTGATACTTATCAATTATTTATTAGGATGCCTCCGTCCGTCTGTGTGTTTCAAAACAAACTAGTCTCCCTATCGTCTCTATGGTATGCGACATTTAGACGGAGAGATAAACGGACAGACAGACACGCTTATATCGACTCCGAAGGTGATCCAGATCAAGTGTATGCTTTATCATTTTATTGGGTCACAGATACCTCCTTCACCTCCATGAACCAGGCATGTTCCGGTGTTTATGTTTAAATGTGAATTTCTTTTTTTTGACAAAAAGTAATTGTAACGTGCTTTCGTGTTTAATATCATATTTTATACCCTTGCAGAGGGTATTATAATTTTGTCCAAAATTGTGCAACGCAGTGAAGGAGACATCTCTGACCCTATAAAGTATATTTATTCTTGATCAGGATCACCTCCTGAGTTGATATGAGCATGTCCGTCTGTCTGTCTGTTTCTACGCCAACTAGTCTCTCAGTTTTAAAGCTATCGACTTGAAACTTTGCACACACCCTTCTTTCCTTTGCACGCAGTATATAAGTCGGAACGGCAGGCATCAGCCGACTATATCCTATAGCTGTCATGAAACTGATTGATCGGAAATGACCAACTTTCGTGTTTTTGAAGATAGTAAGCTGGAACTTAGTACAGATTCTATTTCAGTTTCAGTTGATCAGTTGATCCAACCTACCAAATTTCATTAGAATCGGCCGACAATATCCTATAGCTGCCATATAACTGATCGATCGCAAATGGTATATGGTAGAAATATCAACTTTCTTATTGTTTTTGTAGGGGGGCGTTGGTTCCGCAAAAGATTCCAGGAGTAGAAATGTTGAATAAAAAGTCGGGGGCGTCTTCCAGTGGATATAACGCGGTCAGCTTTATTGGGCTGCTTACATCGAATTAATTCCTTAAAAACTAGTGCAAAAAGTAATAGAAAAACTACGATCGACGACGGCCGGCGAAGGAGCGAGAGCGCAAAGAGGGGCGAGCGCGGATGCGCTCTTCAGCGCGGGTGCGCTCTTCAGTGCTGGTGCGCTCTTCAGCGCGGGTGCGCTCTTAAAGTTGCGGCACCCCGGCCCCTCACGTAAACATCCTCCCCCCCTTGCAATCGCTCGGGTTGCAACATATCCCTCGTCGCTAGCTATGCGTCACTGCAGCTAGAGGGCGTACACGGTCGATGAAGGCCCCCGTGTCGAAAATCCGGGTCCCGATGTTGACGCTGTTCCGTCTCGGCAGCGACGATAGGGTGGGCGCAGCGAGCGCGTCCTGCGGGGGCCCTCGAGGAGAGGCGGAAAGTTGCCTAGGCGCGGATGACGCGGGCGGAAGAGCGGTGGACGGCACCCGATGAGTGGCGGACGAAAGCAGTGGAGCGCTTGACGACTGCCAGCCAGTGGCGGAAGAATGCCGAGGAGTTGCCGACGAGCGCCGGGAAGTCGATGGCCGTGGATCGGCTTGTGAGTGCCGGAAAATGGCGGACGCAGGGCGAGAAGCACCCGAACCGCGCCGGGAGTTGGCGGATGACGGCCGACGAGAGAGCGAGACACCAGGTGTACTGTCTCCCGTGGGCGGTGACCGGTGCTCCTTGGTCCCGGGGTGCAGCAGCGTGTGGTGATCCTGACCACACGTCTTACAGCCGTCCCCACGCCGACAGGATCCGTCGGAGTGCTCGTGGCCCAGGCAGCTCGAGCAATAGCGGTTCACGAGAACCACTCGAAGCCGCTCCTCGGCACTAAGGCGTAGGAAGCGCCGACACTTCTTCAACGGATGACTCCCATTGCAGACTCGGCATCGGTAGGATAGTGTACCTCGAGTACATCTGCTTTCCAGTGACGGGGCGTTGCGAAGGCGTGGCGACATCGTGCTGAATATGACCTTGGAATCTAGAATTAGACCCGGATCAGTCGGATCATCAGCTGATTGCCACCGTGCAGCGTGATGCGATGTGTAAATCGAAGAAGGAGTCGTAACAGAATTATGCTCGCATCCGGAATCGAAACCCTGAACCAGTGAGTCACCGAGGCTGCGGGCAACTCGTGCGGAAAAAACAGACACGCTGCGGGTGTTGGCTGGAGATAATGGGCCTGTCAGCACCCATCCGAAAATGGTCTCCTGACCGAGAAGCGACCCGCAGATATTAGC